AAATCAAAAGTTAAGTGGCATTTGGAATTTAGTGATAATTCCCAATTGTAATACTGATGAGAGGATACATTCTACGGTGTTTTACACTATTTGAATCATACTGTGCTGTTAACTTATGTGTAGTGGTCCCTTGATTGAGGCAGTAGGAATTGGGCACGGGATCCCTTATTTACCTACCAAGACAACTACATATGTTTGGAGGAAGAATTTATTAACTCATTACTGACGCCTGTTGCAATGACTTCCTCTCAAGTTGGCATTCTCATTCGAAGCTGCAATTTGTTTTTCCCTCTGTCTGACTGTCTCTTGTAAGCTTATGTTAGATCTGAACCTGTACTCTTTTGTCTCTCTTTGCAGAGACCCTATAGACATGACAGAATTGCGGATGGTCTCAACATCACTGAAGAAATGCTGAGGCCTGAATCGATGACAAGACAAATTAATGATCAGATTTCTCTTGCAAAGGCAATTCTTGTAATTGCAAAAGAAAGCAACAACCTTCAATTTGCATGGGAACTAAGTGCTCAAATCCGCAACTCACAGATGCTTCTTTCTAATGCTGCTTCCAGAAGAAGTCCCCTGACAAACGGAGAATCAGAAAGTGCAATTCGAGATATGGCACTTCTGCTCTACCAAGCCCAGCAACTTCACTATGACAGTGCAACCATGTTTATGAGACTGAAAGCCAAAATCCAAAGCCTTGAAGAACAGGCGAATTCCTTCAGCGAGAAGAGTTCAAAATATTCACAAATTGCTGCTGAAGAAGTCCCTAAAAGTCTCTACTGCCTTGGTGTCCGGTTAACAGCTGAATGGTTCAGAAGTTCCAATTTGCAGAAAAAACTCAAGGAAGAAAAGCAAGCAGCTGCCAAACTTGTGGACACTGGTTTGTATCATTTCTGTGTATTCTCAGACAACATCCTTGCAACTTCGGTTGTGGTGAATTCAACGGCTATGAATTCCAAGAATCCTGATATGGTGGTCTTCCACCTTGTAACGGATGAGGTGAACTATGCTGCCATGAAGGCATGGTTCACGATGAACAGTTTCCGAGGAGTGACTGTTGTCGTACAAAAGATCGAAGAGTTTAGTTGGTTAAATGCTTCGTATGTACCTGTTCTCAAACAACTTCAAGACTCTGACACCCAGAACTACTACTTTTCTGGCAACCATGATAACAGCCGAACTCCAATCAAGTTCAGAAACCCTAAATACTTATCGATGCTTAACCATCTGAGATTCTATATCCCAGAAGTTTTTCCTGCACTTAAGAAGGTTGTGTTTCTCGATGATGATGTTGTAGTGCAGAAGGATCTTTCAGCTCTATTCACCACAGACTTGAATGGCAATGTAAATGGTGCAGTGGAGACTTGTATGGAAACATTCCATAGATATCACAAGTACCTGAATTATTCTCACCCACTTATTCGTCAACATTTTGATCCTGATGCATGTGGGTGGGCCTTCGGGATGAATGTTTTTGATTTGGTTGAGTGGCGAAAAAGGAATGTTACTGGCATATACCATTACTGGCAGGAAAAGAACGTAGACCGCACATTGTGGAAGCTTGGCACTTTACCACCTGGACTGCTAACCTTCTATGGATTGACAGAGGCTTTGAATCCTTCATGGCATATCTTAGGTTTTGGCTACACAAATGTCGATTCCAAATTGATAGAAAAGGGAGCTGTGCTGCACTTCAATGGTAACTCAAAACCCTGGTTGAAGATTGGTATTGAGAAGTACAAGCCGCTCTGGGACAAATATGTTGATTATAGTCATCCTTTATTACAACAATGCAATTTTCACTAAGTTGTCTTTTGATTAATTTATCACATATAGTTCTCACAGAGGTAGTAATTTTGGGAATCTGTTAGGGGTTCTGTGAGATTAAGATATTGACATCTCTGTGCTTATTCCAATTTGTTGTAGTATAGCTTTGCAACAAACATCAAGGCATCAGTATCTTATTACATAAAATTTCATGTCGTATGTTGGCAAGATTTGTCAAAGATGTAATTTTCTTTCTAGGGAAGAGGGCCATAAAATAAGCTTGAACTATTCAAATTAGTTTAAACGTTTTAACATAATCTTAATTCTCAAGTCAAAGTGCAATAAAATAATGTGATGTCTTCAAAATTAGTAACTCTTATCCATGACTAAGTTGTTAGAATGGATAGTTGGTTAACAGCATATTCTAACAAACTGTTCTAATTCAATGTATAAACAGAGTCAACACTCTTCTGTGACTATTGCTCCTTCTGTCATCTTTACTTGTTCATATTTGAATTGACACATCTCTTAACAAATAATAAATGTAATGATAATTTTATTTATATTACCCCTGATAATTACAAGTCATTCAAATATTAGAAAATGAATAGTATTTAATAATAAAGACAAAAGAGATATAAAATAATAAATTATCTCTTAATTTTTAAATGAATAAGTAAATATGAACATCTATTTTTAATATAGTAAACAAGCAAAAATAAATAGAAAAAAATATTCGTTAGTTTTGCACATCTTTTCTAGTAAAAACAAATCTTGCCACATTGTAACTGGTGTTAGAAGCCATATTTCCTTAAAATGATGTAGTATATACCAACACTAATAAGTGGAAACAGATTATTTTTTTGAATTTTTTAAGGCTTAATTTGTTTTCTAGAGTTCAACTTGGAAAAAAATTAACAAATTTTATGGCTAACCACCCTCTTAATGTGAGGCATATTTCAACCAGAAGATTATATTCTTCTTTTGTTCAACTAAAAGGTTATCCTACCTACTTATTATACTTTAAAATAGTCATAGAGCCATCCTTATCCTAGAAGTATCAATTAATATTTTTTTTCTCACAAAAAGTAATTGTGTAGCATATTACTTCTTTTTACATATAATAACTATATGTTAACATTTCTCTCTTCATATATATAGTCTTTATATTTTAACTTTTTTAATGAAAATCACAATTTTATCATTACTCACGAATATCATAATCTTATATGGTACTTTTTTTGCCGAACTCTACTTGAAAAATATGACAAACATACTATAATATTTGCATTTAATTTTTGCCTAACCATTAAATTTACAATAGAAGTAGGGTAGAAATATTTTTAAAAAAAATCAAAAAGAGTAAATAAAATGCAAAATACTTTTGTGAAAAATATTAATTTTTTCATACACTACAAATAATTTAATGAAAAATCTATCCATGATATATGTTGCAATATTTGATTTTTTTGCACAATAAGAATTCAACCCAATTGAAAGACGAAGTTTCTAGTCTAGAAAAATAGAAATTTTAAACGAAAAAAGAATGGGCAGAAATATATTAGGGATAAGTAGCTTATTTATTGTATTAGTTTATGTGTGACTTGTTGACAGATGGAATGAACATTTTTAATTTACCAAAAGTAGATGAAGGGCTTTTCAAACAAATAGAGTATTAGAAATTTTCATGTTATTTCAATCCCAATACACAATACAGTAAAACCTCTCTAAATTAATATAGTCGGGATCATGAAATATTATTAATTTATAGAGATATTATTTAATCGATAAATTAATAATTATTAATTTATAGAGTGTTTTGAGATCCAACCTTGTGATGCTGGGATAATAAGAGTTTTAAAGATGTATTATCACAATCGATATTGTCGTAGGATATAAGAAGGCTATGAAGTGGGACATGAAATCGATCCACAAAAAAATAATGTTTTGGATGCTATCAATTTTGCAATTTCGGCTTGGACGATAAGTGTTCAGCAAAGACAACAACAAATTGTTGTCGACACTACAAAATTTCAGGATGAAATCTCAGAGAATTTGAATGAATCCGCTTGTGAAAACGTCATTCATGAACTTGAGGTCATGATTAATAATCTTAGTTACCGCAAAAAATGGACAGCAAAAACCTATTGGATTATCCAGGTGAACATGATACATATTCAGAGGTCCAGTGCTTAGAAGAAGGATACGATAAAAAACAATGTTGATGATTAAGTTGTAGATGATACAATACATTTGAAACCAGTTACGCGTAAGAAAACACCTATCCTATCTAGAACTCTTCACAATTTTATGGTATAGTTCGAAAAGATAACACTAGAACTTTTAGATGCAATAAGAAAAGTTAGAGATGAACTTCAACTAGATTTAAAATTTAACAAAAAATAAAACACAATAGAATCACATTTTATTAAATTGTCTTAGATATATTTGTACTTTTAAAGAATTATTACTTTATAATATTAATGAGACCATGTATTTATATATGGATCTTCTGAAAATATATTATCTTATTATCTTATCGAAATAAGTGATTTTTTCAATTGGCCCAAGTCGGAACCAAAGGAAATTATTATGTAGAGACATTATTAATTACTGAGTATTAATTTAGTGTATAGTATACTCATTGAGTTTTTTTTTTTCACCCAATGTCGCAACCCGCATTGGAACCCTGACTAAATTTGAATCGCGCACAACATGACTCATTCGAGGTAACACTCCTAACATGGTTTTCTTCATAATCTCGAACCCGTTCATGCACTGTAGTATCCATTCGGGGTGATGCTCCAAACAAAATTTTCCCATACACTTGAACCCGAAACTTCTGGTCAAAAGTAAAATTATCCCATCACTGTAACACAACCAATGTTGGTTATCATTGAGTTGCATTATATAGTATATAGTGCAATTGATCATTGGTTATCATTGAGTTGTATTATATAGTAAATAGTGTACTAGATGAGTCTGCTCCTCTCTTAATTTAGAGGTCTCGAATTCAAGTTTTGAGTATCAAAAGATTCTTGATAGAAAGTCCTATTGTCCTACTCAATGCGAATTCGAAATAATTGGACTCCAATACAAATATCAAACACCATTTGAGAAATCAAAACAAATAAAATATAAAAATATAACAGTAGGTAGGTAGTAGGTACCATAAAACATAAAAAGAAAAAGGAGCTAATATCTGCCAACCAGAGCTTATCCGTGTACAATAAATTGACAACGTTTTTGCCTCTTCTTCACTACTCTCATTTCTCATTCTTCTTCCTCAGCTTACAAGGTTAGCTTTTCAATTTTCTCTATTTTGGTGGTTTTGTTGCTCTGTTTCTGTTATGGTTTTTGTATCCCAACTCACTTTGGGATTCAAACTCTATGGGTTCAACTAAGACTAAGCAACTGACTGGAATGAAAGTTGTGCTAAGTTAAACCATTTCCAAGTTAGTAGAATTGCTGTATATGCTAAGTTGTGATTTAGAGGGATGATTTGATTGCCTGGTGAAAATCAGATGAAATGGAAGACTTCAAATATTTTAAGAGTACTTTTCGAAATTTTTTTTCATAATGACACTGGGAGAATTTCAGCCTTTTATGAATTTCAATTTTCTATTTGTTTTTGTGTTTTTAGTTGATCACATCATAATAGTACTACTCAATTTTTGTTGACATTTTGTTTCACAGGAGATAAATTGGGAACACCATTATGGTTGGTAGATGTCATTTACCAGAAGATTTATTAGTGGATGTTCTATTAAGGTTGCCTGTGGAATCACTTGTGCGTTTCAAATGTGTGTGCAAACATTGGTATGCTCTCATCACAAGTCCAAGTTTTGTAGAAATGCATTTTCGTCACAAGCATAATCATGCCCATCTACTCATTTGTAACTTAACACTTATGGATAAATCAAAGTCCATTGCTTTTTCCTTGCTCCCTGCCAAAATAGTTCAAGGTGTTTCCCCTGAACAAAAAACTGTCCATCAGCTTCAGAGGGTCTCTGATTTCATGTCCATTGTTGGCCCAGTTGATGGCCTATTCTTGGTGGAAAAAGCAGCGTTTTTGGATGAAGAGAATGCTCGCTTGGCTTTGTGGAATCCTGCCACCAGGGAGTTCTGGCCTCTGCCTCCTGTGTCCTTTGAGCCTCAGCCATTCAAAGATCATGATAATCAGTTTGCATTGGGGTTTGACCCGTTGACTCGAGATTATAAGGTTCTATGTATTCAAACATTTTGGGATGACTGGGGACTGGGCGTTTCCCCTAATTGCATTGTTAGTGTCTATTCCTTACGCAACAACTCATGGAGGAACCTGAGACCTGATTTCCCTGACTGTTGTAACTTACACGAGCCCATTGGTGCTACACATCTCAACGGGGTATATTATTGGCTCTCTGGCCGTCTAGACAATATCTTCCGCATATGCTCGTTTGATATGGGCAGCGAACAATTTGGGGAGATGCAAGGCCCGGATATCCCAAAGACACAGTGGGGAAAGCTTATGTTGCATGGTGACTCACTTGCTATCTTAGTTGGTGATCCTGGTAAACCAATGACATCCATATATGATGTGTGGGCGATGAACCTAGAGGGTAGTTGGACCAAAGTTCTTAGTGTTCAACCTCAAATAGTTGCTCATTGGCCTCGCAGCGTCTGGGAGGATGATAAGATGATTTTCGAAATCACAGAAACTTCACAGTTGGTATTATATGACCCTACAACAAGACAAGTTATAGATCTTGGCTTTCAGCTGGACCTAATCAGGGGTCGCTCTTGGGTTTTCAATTACAAGCAGAGCCTAGTTCAAATAAAGAGAAAAAATGACAGCCAGGGCAAGGATAATGTTGTCTAGCAAATTGAACAACCTTATTAGTTCAGTTAGTAGGTTGGTTATTTGAACTTTCACATTGTTGGTGAGGGTTTGATTCCACATCTTGCATTCCTCTCTCCCATTGCCGCTTCTCCTACCCCCAATTTCCCCCCCTCTTTTTAAAAATAAACACTTCTTCAGTATCATACCAATAGATTGGAAGCCTCTGCTGACTGTTAGGGGTGCAGATCATTAATCCCTATTCGGAATTAATATATTCTGAATCTCCAAAATTGTTGCCGCACTCATGTCAAATCCTCCAAAAATGCATTATTACTTTTGGTGTATCTGAACCGCTCTCTGCCATATTTATGACTTGTCCGACCAACATAGATGTGCTTATATATTAATGGTAATGATTTTGCTCTTAATTAAATTGGATCCACCTCCATTTAGACCATTCTTAGCATCTTCCGTTTTTCAATTGTTAAAAATATCTGCAGGATGTGCTAAGTTAAGCTTCTTCCGTTTCCAAGTGTTGTGGATTGATGTTAATCGAAAAGGGTGTGTTATTTACTGTTTCATGCTGCTTAAATTACCTGCAAAATGGTTGTATCTTAATTGAGATGAAGAGTTAAAAAAAAACAAAAAGAAAACCATTGATTGGCTAATGAATACAATAGAAAACTAAATGACTAGTTCTTTAATATGAGTTCCCATCTTTCCAGTTTCCTACAGAAATAACATAAATAGCTGCCCATTGAAAAAAATAGTTGGCAGATGTATACCGTACATGTGATATATGTGTATTTGCTGAATAATAGTTGCCCATTGAGAAAAATTACCTGCAAAATGGTTGTACATCTTTCCATTTTCCTACAGAAATACTTTTTTTTTTGAATTTGGTGATGCAGGGTTTTGCTTCTAAATTGTATCCTGTCCAATTTTGACCATTCTTTGCGCCTTTTAAATTTCTAACTTTTAGATCAACATGGGTTGAGGTGCAGTAGTAAGGTTGCTTCACGCTAAAAATTCATTTTTTTAGAAATACTTGCAAGATGTGCCAAGTTAAACTTGTTAAATTTTCAAGTGTTGTGGATTGATGTTAGTCGGAAGGGGTGTGCACTTAAGGGGTTGTTTGGTTGCTACTTAGAGTTAATGCAGGTATTAGTTTTGCCATGTTTGGTTATTCCATCTTTTGCCTTGCATAAATTATACATATGTTTTCTTCATAACTTATACATATATTTGGTTTAGGGATAATACATATATTGGACCTTAAACTTGGCTTCAAATTTTAACTTTGACCTCCAACTTTCATAGTGCACAAACAGACACTTTAACTATCCAACCTTTTAATAAATAAACACGCGTGTCTTACCTGGCAAAACGCGTGATGTGCACGTTTTTTGCGCGAGTTAGGAGTGATTTTTGAGGCCTACAACAGTAAAAAAAATGCTGAAATGACAACTCTACCCTTAATTAATTTTATTTTTTTTTAGTTCAAAAATGCACGTGTAAAGTGTTTAATTAGTTGGCAGCCATTGAGTGGCTCACTAATACACGTGGCAGCGTTTGCATTTCACGCTCTTGGCTCCAAAAATTGCGTGTTTATTTATTAAAAGGTTGGATAGTTAAAGTGCTTGTTTGTGCACTATGAAAGTTGGAGGTCAAAGTTAAAATTTGAAGCCAAGTTTAAGGTCCAATATATGTATTATGCCTTTGGTTTAAACTGGCAATCGAATACTGTACTTGTTTTGCTGAGTTTTATTTAGAAAGAAGTAGTGAAAACATTTTTTAATTCGGTGCTAATTATTCGTTTCATCCTGAATTATTGACAGCATTTAAAATACCCCTTTACATGACTAATTGAAATACACCCCTGATCTAGCAATATGAGTGAAAAATATACCCCTAAATTCTCGCTAAGTTTAGGTGCTTTCAACACTTCTCTCGGTTTCTATTAAGAGCCCTATGCTCCTACAAGAGTTTGAGACCACTTGCTATGTCATGTGGCAGGTTGGGGTGTATCTAAGTTTAGTTAGTCAAGTAGAGGGGTGCTTTTAAGGCTATCAATAGTTTGGGAACGTAAATAATAATTTGTACCCAAGTTCAGGGTGTTTTTAATACTTTTCCCTTTTATTTATAACAACTGAAATGCTACTAAACATGGTACTAGTTAGGCTAATTTTAGTACATGAATAACTCACCTACTAATCGGACAACCGTTTATTGCTTTATGGTCCGTAAATTACCTGCATAATTTAAAATAGAAGTAGTGTAGAAATATTTTTAAAAAATCAAAAAGAGTAAATAAAATGTGACATACTTTAGTTAAAAATATTAATTTTTTTCATACACTACAAATAATTTAATCAAAAATCTATCCATGGTAGATGTTGCAATATTTGATTTTTTTTGCACAATAAGAATTCAACCCAATTGAAAAACGGAGTTTTTAGAAAAATAGAAATTGTGACGAAAAAAGAATGGGCAGGAATATATTAGGGACAAGTAGGTTATTTATTGTATCAGTTTATGTGTGACTTGTTGACTGATGGAATGAACATTTTTAATTTACCAAAAGTAGATGAAGGGCTTTTCAAACAAATACAGTATTAGAATTTTTCATGTTATTTCAATCCCAATACACAGTATATGAAACTTCAAAAGGCAACAATAAGAATAGAATTTTCTTACCTCAAACATTTTATTATATATATAATGAGTTTTATTTGGTTTCTCACTGTCACGATCCAAAATGAGTCGTGAGTGGCACCCACACTTAACCTCCTAAGTGGGCGAACCAAGAAATCCAAACCCAACATATATCAATAATTCAACTACGAATAACAACAATAATGCGGAAGCTCAAAACTTATTAAAGTAACCAATCAAATAAACCTCTAAAGTCTAACACTTATTATCCCCAAAATCTGAAAGGCATCACATCAAGGACATCTAATCTTCAAATACTAAGTCTAAGAGTATTAAAGACACCAACATAAATGAATAAAATAGTTTATGTCCGAAAACTAAGGACATCATGTTACGACCAAGAGAATCCAACACGAGGTGGAATGAATAGCTCACCCTGGAACCTGATGTGCTGGAGACTGGCTAGAGCTGAGGGTGAGTCGAAGTCACTGGTACACTCGCTGCACTCCACAAAAGAAAACAAAGAAAAATACAAGTAGGGCTCAGTACAGGGCAACATGTACTGAGTAGATATCATCGGCCAACCCAAAATAGAAACTAATATGTAATGAATAATAGTATAAAATCAACTATGACACTTAGCAGGTGGCAAGCAACAAACACATGAACCAGTGTCAATAACACTAAAGTAAGTACGTAATCACTCAACAATATCAAGATCACATATGAGGACTCATGCCTCCAAACCAAACTAATTTGGGAATTGAGTTCTTTGAGATTGAGTACATTAAGTTAATTCAATATCTTTTTCCTTTAATGTTACCGTGTCAGAACGTGACACTTCGATCCAATTATACCGTGTCGGAACGTGACACTCCGATCCAATTATACCGTGTCGGAACGTGACACTCCGATCCAATAATATCATTAATTTATCATTTATTATCACCACTTTTCAATTCATTAACAATATTTCATCAAGTCTTCTTTATTCAAGGCATCACTTCGATAGAGAGAGTTCAAGATTATAAATTCCACGGTCTCAGGATTTCAGACCAATCACAAACCAGACCACCAAGCTACACAATCACACAATCAAGTACATAGAGAACTTCACAATATCATTCAATGCATATCATTCACTATTAAGAATCTATCTATCAAATAGAATAAACCATAACCTACCTCCACCGAAGAACTGACGTCTGGCAAGCTACTTCTCCAATGCCTTCCCCTTCCTTAACGCCTCCGAACGTTTCCAATCTATCAATTATGCATAATTTGTAAGCTAACGAGTCTATAAACACCCATGTTACTATATGTCTAGCCTAGACCCAAAAATTCACCCGATTCCATAATCAATTTTCCTATAGTTTAACCCTAAGGGTAAGTCTTAATTTCTCCAATTAGCATAACTTTAATGGTATTCAACTAATACAATACACCTAATATTTAATTACCTATCTCCATATATCAAAACATAATTTATAACGAGATACTTAAATTATGTGTGGTATCCAGTACCCTCACTTTCTTGCAACTTCATTCATTCTATATAGGGATAAAAGTTTGAAAAATACTTCAACTTTGGTTGGATTTGCTGTTGCGATACTAAAATTTGTATGCAGTTTGATGAAAAAAGTGTTCCTTATAGTAGACATTCTTTTGCTTATGATAGAAGACTGGCTATTCAACATATTTCTCTGATAGAACCTTGTTATGGTCCAGCTAGAAATCGCGCTGCTTCATTACATACTTTATCAACAGTTATATCTGTAGAAAAACAAAAAATTAAAATTGATCCTCGGTTAAACATTGTTCAAATAAATGATAAAGCATCTGATATTTCTGATAAGGATATTCCTTCTGTATCTGAGATGGATTTTAATCTTAATGATACTTAATGATAAGTGAACATCAAATTGATTTTAGTCCAGGTTCGCTGGCAAGAAAATATATTCAAAACGAATTTTTAAATGAAAAATGGAACCGGTTTAAAACTTGGTTTTTTGACACTTATAGTAAAGAAGATTTCAATAATATTTCTCAAGAGTTTTATGAAACTTGTGCATTACATAATCATATTATGTTCTTTGTGCCTTGGTTTATAACCACTCATTTGCCTTTATTCATCAACGTTCTTGAACGATCCTACAAAGATGAATCAGGTAATATTATTCAATCCATTTATCCTCCTCAAGCTCCGTTTATTTTACCAAATAATACTAGTATTACTTTTACTGCTTTTCATAAATTTATTGATAATGATGTCGCCGCTGTAAGTATAAATGAAATTAATCGCCTTATTTCTCAAAATAATTATTTGGGTCTATATGTTAAAGTTATTGGTGAACATATTTGTTCTCTAGACAAAAAATTAGATAGCCTGTCTAATCTGATTGTTCAAATTGATAATAAGCTAAAATTTGTGAAACAAGTTTCAAAACAGGCTTCTTCGTCAAAACAGTCTGATGATCATATTCAAAGGCCTCCTGAGATTCAGGATTTTATTCTTAGACCTTTGCACGACCTTGAAAATCTTCTTGATAAAAAGTTTTCTCAATTTGGTGCAAGTGCGAAACCTATAAGTCTCGCTGAAGATTTTGCAGATGAGATGGAAGCCCCTTTTGATTTCAAAACTCAAATAGAAATGGAAGTTAATAAACTTCATGGGTATCCAAAGAAGAATTGCGGTAATACTGCTTATGCTAGAAAACCTAGCATGCAAACATATTACTATCCCAGGCCTACTCCTTAAGATGTTTTAATAGAGGAAAGAGATTGGAATCAAACTAACACTTCTTATAGAGGAAGTGAGATTTATGAATGGAATCTCGATGGGTTAACTGATAGGCAGTTGACGATTATGGTTCATAGGATGCTTATGTATGCTACTATATGCAAAAGTGTTAGCAACACTGACAAGACCATTTGCAAGATGATTATTGCAGGATTTACCGGTCAACTAAGAGGATGGTGGGATAATTATATGCCCTCTGATGCGAGAGCAGCAGTAATTAATGCTAAGGCAGTAAATGAAGGAGTTGATAATTTAGGTTTTGCCCTTGTTTAAAATAGAGAAGACGCTGTGTATACACTTATTTTGACTATTCTTGAACATTTTAGTGGTAGATTTACCAATCAATATGAAATCATTAGATCTCTACTAAATGGTCTTAGATGTAGACATTTAGGTGAGTTTAGATGGTATAAAGACACTTATTTAAGTCGGGTCATGGAACTACCCGAAAATGGTTTAGAATTCTGGAAAGCCAAATTTATTGATGGCTTACCTTCTTTATTTGTAGAAAGAGTAAAAAAGACTCTTAGAAATCCTTAAGGAATTATTCCCTATAGTGATTTTACTTATGGAAAGCTTATTGGGGCTTGTACGCAAGAAGGCATAAATTTGTGCAATGAGTTAAAACTCTCAAGACAGCTTAAAATGGATAAGCTTAGAGAAAAGTCTCAATTAGGAGATTTTTGTACTCAATTCGGTTTATCGGATGCTTCAAAAAGCACAAACCGAGAAACTTCTAAATCAGAATCTCATAGATCTCATCATAAGAAAAGAAGATCTAGAAGAAGGACTAGAGAAGAAAGAGATGAGCGTAGGGCTCATCGTAAATCTCATAGATTTACTAGAAATAGGTCAATGCGAAATCTTGATAAGATTAAGTGTTATAAATGTGAAAAATTTGGGCATATAGCTCCAAATTGTAAGCTAGAAAAGCTTAAGACTCTAGAACTTGATGATGATATTCAAGAGAAGATTTATAGTTTTCTATATACTTCTGGTTCCGAATCAGATTATGATGATTCTGAAGCAAGTTATGCAACAGAGGATGAGCAACCTGAGTCATCTAGTAAGGTTCAACAAGATTCGAATGATGCTTGCAAATGTCATGGTGATAGTTGTCATTGCGAACATGATGAATTCTACAAGCTACAATCTCAGTTCGAAGACATGAATATGTTCACTATCACTGCAGACAATGTGATAGAACTTCTCAAAGAAGTTACAGATAATACTCTTCGTGAAAAGATCATTCAATTGGCTGCTAGTAAAACTAGCTCTTCAACTAGTATTCCTTACGATAAAAAGGTTAAAGATGAGTTTAATTATTCTGCTCCTTACTCATTGTCTGAAGTTCATAATAGACTCTCTTCTAAACAAACCATGATTATTCGTGATACCTCTTTTGATGATTTAAAAGGAGAAATTGAACATTTAAAGGAAGAAATTAAATTTCTTAAACAAAATCATATTATTTGTGATCATCGTCTTACTCAGATTGAGTCTGCTAATAGCAAAGGAAAAAATAAGATTGATGAATCTACTGCTGAAGAAAATACTCTTGCCAACACTTTGAATATTGATCCGAAACAAAATATGTTTTTAGGAATGATGCAAATTGTTACAGCTCATAAATGGTATGTTAAATGTACTATATTAATTGATAATAGTTTTTCTATAACTAACATTGCTATGATTAATAGTGTCGCTGATGTGAGTTGCATTCAAGAAGGTCTAGTACCTACTAAATATTTTGAAAAAACAACTCATATGGTTAAATCTGCATCTGGTCATGCTTTAGATATAAAGTATAAATTATCTAATACTCGGATTTGCCAGAATAAAGTTTGTATTCCTCACTTCTTTTTCTTAGTAAAAAATCAGTTACACCCTCCTATTATTCTAGGAACTCCTTTTATAAATGCAATTTATCCTTTTACTAATATAAATGCTAAATGATTTTCTGCTACTTATAAAAATCAAGATATTAGTTATACTTTTATCACCGAGCCTATTTCTAGAGATATTAATGCTCTAATTGAAATGAAACAAAAGCATGCTGATTATTTACAACTTGAGATATTTAGTATGAATATATTCGATACTTTAAAATCTGCTAAAGTACAGGAAAAAATTAAACTCATTTCTAAAAAAATGGCAATTGATATTTGTGTTGATCATCCTAGTGCCTTTTGGAATCGGAAAAAGCATATTGTAACTCTTCCATATGAAGATGACTTCTCAGAGGAAAATATCCCTACCAAATCACGTCCTTGTCAGATGAATACCGAATTGGTTGAATTCTGCAAAAAGAAAATTGATAATTTATTACAAAAAGGTTTGATAAAGCCTTCCAAATCACCATGGTTGTGTACTGCTTTTTATGTTAATAACGCAACAGAAAAAGAACGAGGCGTTCCCAGGTTAGTTATAAATTATAAACCTTTAAATAAATTTTTAAAATGGATTAGGTATCCTATTCCAAACAAAAGGGATTTATTATCAAGACTATATGATGCTAATATCTTTTCAAAATTTGATTTAAAATCTGGATATTGGCAAATTCAAATATTTAAAGACTATTCTTATAGAACGGCATTTAATGTCCTGTTTGGACAATACGAATGGAATGTAATGCCCTTTGGTTTAAAAAATGCTCCCTCGGAATTTCAAAAGATTATGAATGATATTTTTAATCCTTATTTGGATTTCATCATAGTTTATATTGATGATATTTTAGTATACTCAAAGACTCTTGAAATGCATATTAAGCATCCAGACATTTTTAAGAAAATAGTTATTCAAAATGGTTTGGTCATATCTAAACCTAAAATGAGTCTTTTTCAAACAGAAGTTAGATTTTTGGGTCATTTGATTTGTCAAGGAAAGATGACTCCTATTTAGCGATCTATTGAATTCGCATCAAAATTCCCTGATATTATTACAGGTAGGACGCAATTGCAGCGGTTTCTGAGAAGTTTAAATTACATTTCCCCCTACTACAAAAATTTGTCTCGAGATTTAGCTCCGTTATACGACAGGCTAAAAAAGGATCATAAGAAGCCTTGGACTAATAGTTTCACTAATCTTGTAACGACTATTAATGAAAGAGTTAAATCTTTGCCTTGTTTAACCCTTGCTAATCCTGCTTGGCCAAAGATCGTTGAGACAGATGTGTCCAATATGGGTTATGATGGAATATTAAAACAAATTAACCCGCATGATAAAAATGAATACCTTATTCGGTTTCATTTAGGAAAATGGAGCGATGCTCAGAAAAAAATATGCAACGGTAGCTCATGAAATATTAACTATCGTTAAATGTGTTTTAAAATTTCTGGATGATCTTTACAATCAGAAATTTGTGATAAAAACAGATGCTCAATCAGTCAAATATATGTTTGATAAAGATTTTAAACATGATGCATCAAAATTAATTTTTGCTAGGTGGCAAGCACAATTAGCCCCTTTTGATTTCAAAATTCATTATAAAAAGGGAAGTGATAATTCCCTCCCAGACTTCTTATCTGGAGAATATCTTTCTTCTTAAAAAAATGGGTTTTCTTGACTTCTTTACTGATATTACTTTGGTTACAATTTTGAAGGCAGTTCCTCTTAATAGAGATTTACAGGAACGTATTTTATGGAGAATTATAGACGGAATGGTGATGGATATCGTCGCTAATTACATGATTGAACAAGAACTTTATGAAAGATTTTATTGTTCTGAAGTCTATGACCTTTTAGATGATTAAAACTAAATGCTATGTTTGCAGGATGGATCCTCCTTGGGTAACCAAGGCTAGAGGAAGGGGCAGCTATACTCGAGGAAGGGGAAGATCATCCTCCTCAAAATCATCAGGATCGTCATACGGATCCTCATCCAGCTCTCCAATTATACAAAGGGGAGAAATGAGCTTGGTAAAACTAACAAGCTCTTCAAAAGAAGTTACTTCTTCGATACATATGGATGATATTCCAGAAAATAATCCATTATACGCCCAACTGAGAGCATATTTATCTCAAAAGCAAAGTGATACTTTTGCATCGGTGGCGAAAGAAGAGGTTGATGATATTAAATCCTACGAAAGGGTAGTAAAGAAAGAAATGATATTTCTTATTGAAAACTCTGAGATATAGAGAAAAGAAGAACCCTGGAAGATATTCCAGCGATATTTACTTAACGGATTATACTTCCCAGGAGAGTCATACAAAACCCGCTTGTATTACGAGACCATTTTAACAAATACAGGTAGTGTTGAATTTTAGCACTTCTCAGGTTATAACACCAGCGAGAACGTTTATAACTTCTCCAAAATGATCATAAAGCAGATTATATCAATTGAAGATTGGGGTATATCAATTGAAGATTGGGGTATATCCTCGATGAAAGAAAGGCAGATCAGCCTCAATAAAATCCCTACCAATTTCACTTATTGGGATTATATTAACGCTTTCAGCAAAGTCCTTTACTATAACAATGAAAGACATAAACATACTTGGCTTATCAAGGTGTGTGCAAAGATATTTGTTGACCCAATTCCTAACTGGTTCTTGAACTTGTGGTCATACCACGGTCCGACGGTAAAGATTTTACCTGATCCCTTTTTAAAGTTATACAAAACTGGGTAAAGGTTTCACCAGACCTTAATGATTTATACCACTCAGATCATGTTTGTTATATAGAACAAATTGAACTAATTTATTTCTTCATAGAATTCTCGATTCCATGGATCCATAAATGGACCTCGAAAGTAGGTTTTACTGAAGAACAAATTCCATGCTTATATCGGATTTATTATAATAATTTCTGGGATAAATTAATGAAGAAGGATCCCATGACTAAATCATTATATGGACAAGAATTATTGGACTCTATTTCTCAAAGAATCCAAGATTATGGTACTATTCCTCACAAAGGAATAATTGTTGACAACTCCGTCAAACATATTGCCAGAAGAATTTCCATTCAAAATGGAAATAAAGAAGAAATGATAAAGGAGTATTTGGATGAAATTAGGAGGAATCTACTCCTCAATATCACTCAGTATGAAAAATCAGACACTTCAATGAGAAGTGAAACAAGTGATGATATCGCAGATGATGCTCAAGAGGCCCAGCCTTGTGAATCGGCAAAACCCATGACAGAAGATATGTTGCGTAAAGCAGAAGGTTTACTTAGGGAGTTGAAAAAGAAAGACAAGATGACCACTATTGATTAACAGTAGATACACTGTTTAACCACAATAGAAAAACTGTTACTGTACATGTGGAACCCATTGATAAGGGACTCATGGTCACTGTAAATCACTGTAGATCACTGTTGATAGATCCTTTTTTCTTCTATAAATAAGGTTTTTTGTAGTTGGAAGGAGGGGCGTTGAAAAACACTCTCTCTTCAAAAGATTTTTTTAAAAAGTTGTTTGTTTCTCTTAGTTTGTAAAGCTCTCGGTTTGCCGGAGGTTCGCCGGAAGTAAATAAAGTTGTTGATACAAGGTAATTTAATTCTCTACTTTTATTTATAAATCCTTTTATATCTCCGATCTTGAAGCTGTGACTATGTCCGGCTAAAAAATTTATATCTATGCCGGATAACTAACTTCTCTTTTATATAGACCATGAACGGATCCAAGCTTTATTTAAATATAGAAGAATTTTAGTATGGCTTCTCGACTTGGTTCTGAGATTGAGGTACAGTCAGATCTAGTACTACTTTTATTGGCTTTGTCTTTATGACTCCGTCTGATGAGCCGTGGTTTTTAGCCCGAAATTGAGTTTGATAAGTAGGACGCCTCATACCTGGTTAGAACTATCAGACACGTGGGCTTAATAAAAGTATGTATTAGCTTCTAAGACACACTCAGATGCTTGCAGCTTGATCAGTTCCTAGTTGTGCTTGCCGGAGAATACTTCTTGAAAGTGAGTCTTTGCAAGTGTTCTTGAGAAATTTCAAGTTGCAAAAACTAACAAAACTCAAACTCAACAAAGACGCTTCAACACTTTATCAGGTCCCTTTGTTGAGCATGAGTATTGTTCTTCCTTGAAGATGGCCTTCTTTTAAAGCTTGTGAATTTTTCAGAGAAAATCTGAGTTTTTGTTTTGCCAAGTCTTGAGTTTGTGTTTTGTTGGAAGAGACTATATTAAAAGGAACACAAACTCCTTGGGACCGCCCATTGGCTGAGAGCCTGCTGTTTAGAAAAGCTGTGCACCTACCACATCAGAAGTGGCAGCTTTTCTGACAGATGTCTTGTCGTCCTTTCACATCGCAGTCTTGCAGGGACCAGGTCCCTTGCAAACTTCTCTTAATAAGTTCTTGAGAATACGTGCTGGCTCTCTCCTTTTGAATGAATGAATTAGTTTTTTTTTTCTTGGATATATTTAGACATGAAAAGTTATTACCAAACGTACAAGCAACCTCCTTGCTTCTGATTGGTGAAGTACTTTGCAGCTTCACCAACTTTCTGACGCAGACAACTTTTACAGCTGTACATCACTTTGACAGCTGGACGAGTATTCATACTCTGCAGAGGACCAGGTCCCTGCACTTGTGAGGAGATCATCAAAACATCTAGGAGCATTATCACTTATCAAACATAGCTCAGATGAGGTTGAATCAGAGAGCAGTAGTTCTTACACTACTGAAGATGAAGAACCCAGCAGTGTGACTGGTTTTGACTCTCCTGGAACTCAAGTGTGGGATGGGAAAAATATAAGGAATGTCAATCACATTCATCATCCACTTGAAAATAATGAACGCCATAAGAGAAGAAAAGGAAAAGCTAGTAAAACGCATATCCGCTCTAAACACTTAAATAGAGTACTGTCTGGACGGAAAAGGTCTAGATTAAGCAACCAAACAGAACACTTGTGGCAAGAGACACAAAGAGCCAACTTCTTACAGGGGGATGGTAAAGATATATTAAATTCCCAAGAAAATGTGAAACCGGATGGTCTAAGTGATGACTCTGAGACAGAAATATTCAGTAGAATTTCTAGTGACACTAACGCATCATCATATGTCTCGTCAAGAACCTTTTCGGAAATTCATAGTATGGGTCCTTATTCTACAACAGGTTCTATAATTGCTGATTCTTTTTTGAAATTAAGAAGTGAGGTATGAATTTGATTGTCATCCTTTTGTCCATGTTACCGACTTAAGGATTAACTCGGATGATCTTGGACGTCTACTGAATAAGCTTTTTCTCTGTTGCAGGTCCTGAGTGCTAATATCGTAAGACGTGGCTCCAAAACTTTTGCTGTTTATTCCATATCTGTTACAGACATGAACAATAATAATTGGTCTATCAAAAGAAGGTAGAGTGATTTGAACTTTCTACTGTTAGGCGGTGTGATGATCACTCTTTTGTAGACATTGTCATCTTAAGAATCTCTTGCATCAAATTAAAATTTAGGCTGCTGGTTGCAGGTTTCAACAATTTGAGGAGCTACACTGGCGTCTTAAGGAGTTTCCGGAGTACAATCTTCATTTACCTCCCAAGCATTTCCTCTCTTCAAGTCTGGATGTTTCTGTCATTCGAGAACGGTGCAAATCACTTGACATATATTTGAAGGTGATACTTTAATAGACGGCATGTGACAGTCCCTTCCTTTAGCAATCAATATTACTTTCTTCCAGATCATAGTGACATCATGTTATACACATTTGCTATGATATCTAAATAATGTTGAAATGTTAATCTTTCACTCCTTTTAAATATTGTTATACTTTGCGTTTTATCCAGTGTTATTAAAGGCCCGCTTTAAGCGCGCTTAAGCCCTGAAGGAAGGCTCAAAATGTGTTGAGCGCTTTGCCTCGCTTTATGTGCACTTCAGTGTCGTCATCAAGGTTCTAAGACAAACTTTTCCTTGCCAATGAGCCTCTTATGAAGAATTGGCACTAAACAATTGATATTTCACTTTATAATTAAAAAAAAATCGATTTCATTGGTCATATATTTGTCATTCATGTTTATAATTATTAGTCTTGGACTAAACACCTTTTTGTATTCTGTTGGGGTATGGTAACCTGTCATACTTTTTTTCTATTTCCGCCAAAACATCTCATAGTAGCATAACACAAGTGCCTTCAAGAACATTGAACACCACAAACTTCCTCATCTTGACAAGCCATAATCAGCCTCAGAAGATCCTCAGTAAGAGTGTCTAGACAACCCATTTGGGTGAAAGATTATGTTAGCACATCTAAGTCCAGGACTAGCTGCAACACTAGTTTATATCCATTATCTGCCTATCTATCATATGACAACACCAGTACTAAGTATCAAAGTTATCTTGCCAAGTTTTCATCCTTAGTAGAGCCTAAAAGTTTCAAGGAAGCTTCCAAAGACACTACATAGGTTGAGGCTATGAAGTTGGAAATTCAAGCTCTTGAAAATAACAACATATGGCAGATTGTAGATCTACCTGAAGGGAAGAACACAGTGGGATCTAAATGGGTCTATAAGATCAAATTTCAGGCAAATGGAGAGGTGGAAAGGTTCAAAGCTCGACTGGTTGCAAAGGGATATAGTCAAAGAAAGGGTCTTGACTATCATGAAACTTTCTCCCATGTGGCCAAGATGGTCACAGTCAGATCAGTCATTGCCATTGCAGCATCTCAAGGATGGGATTTATTCAGATGGATGTCTTTAATGCATTTCTTCAAGGAGATTTAAGTGAAGAAGTTTATAAGGAAATGCCTGAGGGTTTCAGAAGTCAGGGGGAGACCAAGGTATGCAAATTACATAAGTCACTATATGGACTTAAACAGGCATCAAGGCACTGGAACATTAAACTACCTGAAGCATTAGTTGGCAATGGTTTCATTCAAAGCAATCATGATTATTCTCTGTTCACAAAAAGGAAGGATGCAAACATTGTTGTTATCTTAGTCTATGTAGATGATTTGTTAATCACAGGAAGTTGCAAGGATATGATTAAGGATGCAAAAGAAGCACTTCACAGGCAATTAAAAGTAAAAGACTTAGGAGAACTTAAGTACTTTCTGGGAATAGAGGTACTAAGGTCTAAGTCTGGAATACTATTGAATGAAAGAAAATATGTGTTGGAACTAATCTCAGATATGGGACTGAGTGGAGCAAAGCCTTCAGCTATACCTATAGAGACTAATGTCAGGTTAACCACTACAGAAATTGATAAAGCAACAGGAAGCCAAGGTGATGCATTACAGGCAGATGTTAGTGCTTATCAGAGATTGATAGGGAAGTTGTTATATCTGACCATTACAAGACTAGACATTAGTTATACTATGCAAACATTGAGCCAGTTTATGCAAGGGCCTAAACAATCTCATTGGGAAGCTGCCATCAGAGTAGTGAGATACTTAAAGCTTGCACCTAGGCAGGGCATTCTCACGAGTTCACTGCCTAGTCAGGAGCTCACATGTTGGTGTGACTCAGACTGGGCAACATGCCCAAACACTAGGAGATCTGTGACAGGCTATTTGGTGAAGTTTGGGAGCTCATTGGTGTCCTGGAAATCAAAGAAGCAGCAGACAGTATCAAGAAGCTCTGCAGAAGCAGATTACATGGTTGCTAGGATTATTCCAGGAGTTAGGAGTAAAAGTGACACAGCCAGTGACTATTAAGAGTGTGATAGTAAAATTGCTATGCAGATTCCCTCAAATCCAATATTTCACGAGCGTATAAAACACATTGAAATAGATTGTCATTTCATTCGGGACAAAATAAAAGGACTTATTGAGACAGTATATGTGAGAACTGAAGATCAGCAAGCAGATTTACTCACCAAGGGATTAAGTAAGGTGCAACTTTTGTATTTGATGAACAAGCTGGGAGTGTTTAATATTTTACACCCTTCAGCTTGAGGGGGAGTATTAACATGTGGCAGTTATCAAGTGTTAATATTGTTAGAGTTAGTTAGACTAGTGGCAAAATGTACAGCTGGCAGGTTGTTAAATGTAGGAGGTTGAGTCGGTTAGTTTAGATATTCCCATTGTATATATATGTAGTTTCTGTACTGATCATTTAGTTTTTCATAATACAATATTCAGTTTCTAGAAAGTTACAATTCAATGCTTCTGTAATAATAACTTCGATCACCATTGTTGATCAGTTTGAGCTGAAGTTTAAGCTCATTGTTCATCATTTTCTCAAGTTGTTGTGATCCATTAACCTTGTACGCAGCTGATCTCCACGACTCCACAAATCATCCCCTTCTAATGCAATCCCGACCCCTCTTGCGATCTCATCCTAAATTCTTTTAGGGTCTGGTTGTTGACTGACAATTACTATAACAACATTATTGAACAACCTTTCTTGTTTCACCTTTTGTCTGATTTTCTCAGCCAGTGTCGTCTTACCAACACCACCCAGACCACATATCCCAATAATAGTGACCCTGTCATCTCAAAGCTGTCATGACCTCAACCTCTTGCAATTTTCTAGAATCAAACTCCTCAGCACTGTTGATAGTTATAGGTTCATTTTCATCAGCAGGATAGTAGAAAACAGCATAATCTTTGCCTTCATTTCGAAATTCAATCAACTCCAATGCAATTTTCTTAGCTCTCCTGCTTAGCGAGTAACGTGACTTCAAGTTTGGACACCAATCATATCTTTCAACCTCAATTCTACCTCGTCGCATTACAGCTGCCACATCAGCAGTAGTGGTAGAAACACTAGTAAACCAAGCCTCAACATTGAGTGAAATCATGACTTGTAAGTTTCTCTGATTAGCCTCCGCTCTTTGATGCACCCCAATTCTGATATCCTCCAACTTCTTAGATTCATTTTCCATAGATCTGATGTTGCTCTTGTAGTAAAAGAAATACCCAAAAGAACTTTTTCCGTTTTAGCAATTATATAACTGGAATTAAATATGTTAAAAAATGATCGAAAAAAGAAGAAGAAGTTGGAATTGATAAGAAGTAATAAAAAATACGCAACACAATGCCATTTTTTTTAAATAGTTAAATTTTTATTTTGTATTTTACAAAATTTAATGAAAAAATTAATGTAAATTAGTTGGGTGACTTTTATGTAAAATATCAATAGTTACGTGACTTTTTAAGTGAAATATTAATAGTTGAGTGACTTTTGAGTTATAAAACAAAGTGGAGTGACTTTCGAAGTGAACAACTCAAAGTTGAGTGACTTTCTAAGCGAACTATTAAAAGTTAAGTGACCATCTGAGATATTAACTCAGCTAATCTATCTCTACAAATCTGCTATTTAATCCCTCTAAATCTGTTTTGTTATCCCTCCAAATCAGCTATTCTATCACAATATTTATTTCTCTGATTCGACAACAAATCTATATGATAATACTAATTTATAGCACTATATAATTACATTAATATATACAATTATTTAGATGTCGATCGTGCTAACAACCATCACCCCCAAAATCACGTTTCACCCTTTCGTAGTCATCGGCAGCTTCAAATTTGTCGACAACAATAGCTTCAGATTCGTCGCCATTGGTAGTGCCTTGACTAGATTTTGTTCCTGGGAGCAAAGATTAGTGATGCTTCAGATTTCTAATTAAAAATATTGTACTAGAAGGAAGTTGCTTCAATTGAAAAACATAAATAAGTATTTGAATATTACTATTAAGTTAAGACGGAAAGAGAACACTATAGTTAATTAGTTATACAACTAGCGGCACTAGACAAACCTTAGAATTGAACCTCTGTTGTGTCCATTTATTGAGATCATCTACTTTCACTTCATAATCATCATTCAAGCATTCGAGACTCGGTGTACTCACAGATATTCCCTGTTGGACAAACGTCTTCATTTCCGGGCAGTCATCAATCCACACTCTTACGAGAAATGGAAATTTAAGAGCATGCTCCGTCAGAAAGAAATGCCCCAGCTTAGGTAGTTGTTCAAGACCCAAATCTTCCAACAGGGGAAATAAGGTAAGGATTACTTCTCCTTGTTGTTCCTCTTTTGTGATCACTTCTTCCATTGATTGACAATCATATATAGCTAGTATTCGGAGATTCAAAAGACTTCTAGCCACTGATGGAGACATCAAGTTTCTCAATTTTCCACAATGCCATAGTTCCAATTTTTCAAGTTTGCTAAAGTAGGCAGTTGGATGTTGATGAGAGTATAGAGAACTTATATTGTTAGCCTCCTTGATACATAGATATTCCAGGCTCGGACAAGAAATCTGCAAACGTTGAAGGGATAAAGTAGCAAATTTTATTATTTTGTTGCAAATACACTTGGAGCTCTAAATTACTATACTTATGGATTTCTTCATCTTTTACCTTTTCTACTTAAATAAAAAAAATGCGACAGTTGAAGAAACTGCCATCAAACTTCATTTTAATTATATATATATATATATAATAATAATAATAATAATAATAATAATTAGTTATACAGCTAGAGACACAAGACAAACCTTAGAATTGAACATGGATTTATTGAGATCAACTACTTTCACCTCATCATCATTGTTCACACGTTCAAGACTCGGTGTACTCACAAATATTTCCTGTTGAACAAACGTCTTCATTTCAGGGCAGTCACGAATTTTCACTTCCCTGAGAAATGGAAATTCAGTAACACGCTTTGTCAAAAAGAAATGCCTCAGCTTAGGCAGTTCGTCAAGCTCCAACTTTTCCAACAGGGGAAACAAGGTCATGATTTCTTCTCCGTGTTGTTCCTCTTCTGTGATCACTTCTTCCATTGACGCACAATCTTCTATCTCTATTCTACGTAGATTCAGTGCACCCCGAGCCACTGATGGAGACATCAAGTTTCTCAAGTTTTCACAATTCGATACATGCAATGTTTCAAGTTTGCTGAAGTAGGCAGTTGGAAGTTGGTGAGAGCATAGAGCACTTATGCTTTCAAGTTCCAAGATGATTAGCTCTTTCAAGTTGGGACAAGAAACCTGCAAACGTTGAAGTATGATAAAGCAATTCAGAATTTGAAATTAAAAATATCGCTAATGATCTCAGGTTAATATCCAATAACAATCGCGTTCACAATCAAGGAATCTAGATATTACTAATACAAATTAAAGTCTCTAAGAAAAAGCTATTGGATTCACGTGAACCCTTGAGTTACAATATTGTAGTTTCGCCTATATTTCTTACCTCCGTCAACATAGATATCAGGTGGCAACCAGAAATAACTATATGAAAAGATTACTATTACTATTATTATTTGCTAGTTAAAATGGAAAGATAGCACTAGACCAAGGGTGAATTAATGTAAGAGACAAATATATATAGTAATTAGTTATAAAGCTAGCGACACAAGACATACCTTAGAATTGAACATTGCTTTATTGAGATCAACTACTTTCACCTCATTAGCATTGTTCACACTTTTGAGACTCAGTGTACTCACAGATATTCCATGTTGGACAAACGTCTTCATTTCAGGGCAGTCACAAATTCTCAATTCTCTGAGAAATGGAAATTCAGTAACACACTTTGTCAAAAAGAAATGCCTCAGCTTAGGCAGTTCTTCGAGCTCCAACATTTCCAACAGGGGAAATAAGGTCATAATTTCTTCTCCTTGTTGTTCCTCTTCTGTGATCACTTCTTCCATTGACACACAATTTTCTATTTGTATTCTTTGTAGATTCAGTGCATCCCGAACCACTAATGAAGACATCAAGTTTCTCAAGTTTCCACAATTTGATACATGCAATGTTTCAAGTTTGCTGAAGAAGGCAGTTGGAAGTTGGTGAGAGCATAGAGCACTTATGCTTTCAAGTTCCCTGATGATTAGCTCTTTCAAGTTGGGACAAGAAACCTGCAAACGTTGAAGTATGATAAAACAATTCAGAATTTAAAATTTATAGATATCTCTAATGACCTCAAGTTAATATCCAATAACAATCACATTCATAATCAAGGAATCTCTAATATTACTAATACAGTTTAAAGTCTTTAGGCAAAAGCTATTGGATTCACGTGAACCCTTGAGTTACAATATTGTAGTTTTGCCTATATTTCTTACCTCCCTCAACATAGATATCAGGTGGCAACCAGAAATAACTATATGAAAATATTACTATTACTATTATTATTTGCTATTTACAATAGAAAGATAGCAACAGACCAGGGGTGTATTAATGTATGAGACAAATATATATATATATATATATATATATATATATAGTAATTAGTTATAAAGCTAGCCACACAAGACATACCTTAGAATTGAACATTGTTTTATTGAGATCAACTACTTTCACCTCATCATCATTGTTCATACTTTCGAGACTCGGTGTACTCATAGATATTTTCTGTTGGACAAACGTCTTCATTTCAGGACAGTTACTTATCTCCACTTTTCTAAGAAATGGAAATTGAAGAGCATGCTCTGTCAGAAAGAAATGCCCCAACTTAGGCAGCGATAGAAGGTTCAGTTCTTCCAACAGGGGAAATAAGGTCATGATTCCTTCTCCTTGGTTTTCCTCTTTTGTGATCATTTCTTCCATTGATTTACAATTATATATTGTTAGTATTCGGAGATTCAGAAGACTTCTGGCCACTGATGGAGACATCAAGTTTCTCAATTTTCCACAATCCGATACATGCAATGTTTCAAGTTTGCTAAAGTAGGCAGTTGGATGTTGATGAGAGTATAGAGCACTTATACTGTTAGCCTTCTCGATATATAGATATTCCAGGCTCGGACAAGAAATCTGCAAACGTTGAAGGGATGAAGTAGTAAACTTTATTATTTTGTTGCAAATACACTTGGAGCTCTAAATTACTATACTTGTGGATTTATTCATCTTTAACCTTTTCTACTTAAACAAAACAATGCGACATATATATAATAATTAGTTATACAACTAGAGGCACAAGAACAAACCTTAGAATTGAACATGGCATTATTGAGATCAACTACTTTCACCTCATCATCATTGTTCACACTTTCGAGACTTGGTGTACTCACAGATATTCCCTGTTGGACAAACGTCTTCATTTCAGGGCAGTCACAAATTCTCAATTCTCTGAGAAACGGAAATTCAGTAACACCCTTCGTCGAAAAGAAATGCATCAGCTTAGGCAGTTCTTTAAGCTCCAACTTTTCCAACAGGGGAAATAAGGTCATGATTTCTTCTCCATGTTGTTCCTCTTTTGTGATCACTTCTTCGATTGACACAATCTTCTATCTTTATTCTTCGTAGATTCAGTGCACCCCGAGCCACTGATGGAGACATCAAGTTTCTCAAGTTTCCACAATTCGATACATGCAATGTTTCAAGTTTGCTGAAGTATGCAGTTGGAAGTTGGTGAGAGCATAGAGCACTTATGCTTTCAAGTTCCCTGATGATTATTTCTTTCAAGTTGGGACAAGAAATCTGCAAACATTGAAGTATTATAAAGCAATTCAGAATTTGATATTTATAGATATCTCTAATGATCTCAGGTTAATATCCAATAACAATCATGTTCACAATCAAGGAATCTCTAGATATTACTAATACAAATTAAAGTCTCTAGGAAAAAGATATTGGATTCACGTGAACCCTTGAGTTACAATATTGTAGTTTCGCCTATATTTCTTACCTCCGTCAACATATGTATTAGGTGGCAACCAGAAATAACTATATGAAAAGATTACTATTACTATTATTATTTGCTAGTTAAAATGGAAAGATAGCACTAGACCAAGGGTGAATTAATGTATGAGACAAATATATATAGTAATTAGTTATAAAGCTAGCGATACATGACATACCTTAGAATTGAACATTGCTTTATTGAGATCAACTACTTTCACCTCATCAACATTGTTCACACTTTTGAGACTTAGTGTACTCACAGATATTCCTTGTTGGACAAACGTCTTCATTTCAGGGCAGTCACAAATTCTCAATTCTCTGAGAAATGGAAATTCAGTAACACGCTTTGTCAAAAAGAAATGCCTCAGCTTAGGCAGTTCTTCGAGCTCCAACATTTCCAACAGGGGAAATAAGGTCATGATTTCTTCTCCTTGTTGTTCCTCTTCTGTGATCACTACTTCCATTGACACACAATTTTCTATCTTTATTCTTCGTAAATTTAGTGCACCCCGAGCCACTGATGGAGACATCAAGTTTCTCAGGTTTCCACAATTCGATACATGCAATGTTTCAAGTATGCTGAAGTAGGCAGTTGGAAGTTGGTGAGAGCATAGAGCACTTATGCTTTCAAGTTCCCAGATTATTAGTTCTTTCAAGTTGGGACAAGAAACCTGCAAACGTTGAAGTATGATAAAGCAATTCAGAATTTGAAATTTATAGGTATCTCTAATGACCTCAGGTTAATATCCAATAACAATCACGTTCATAATCAAGGAATCTCTAATATTACTAATACAGTTTAAAGTCTTTAGGCAAAAACTATTGGATTCACGTGAACCCTTAAGTTACAATATTGTAGCTTTGCCTATATTTGTTACCTTCGTCAACATAGATATCAGGTGGCAACCAGAAATAACTATATGAAAAGATTACTATTACTATTATTATTTGCTAGTTAAAATGGAAAGATAGCAGTAGACCAGGGGTGTATTAATGTACGACACAAATATATATAGTAATTAGTTATAAAGCTAGTGGCACAAGACAAACCTTAGAATTGAACATTGCTTTATTGAGATCAACTACTTTCACCTCATCATCATTGTTCACACTTTCGAAACTCGGTGTAGTCATAGATATTCTCTGTTGGACAAACGTCTTCATTTCAAGGCAGTTACTTATCTCCACTTTTCTGAGAAATGGAAATTGAAGAGTATGCTCCGTCAGAAAGAAATGCCCCAACTTAGGCAGCGATAGAAGGTTCAGCTCTTCCAACAGGGGAAATAAGGTCATGATTCCTTCTCCTTGTTGTTCCTCTTTACTGATCACTTCTTCCATTGATTGACATCCTTCTATCCACAAATTTTGGAGGTTTAGAAGACCTCTTGCCACTGATGGAGACATCAAGTTTCTCAATTTTTCACAACGAGATACATACAATATTTGAAGTTTGCTAAAGTAGGCAGTTGGAAGTTGGTGAGAGCATAGAGCATTTATGTTGTCAGCCAGATGGATATATAGCTTTTCCAAGTTGAAACAAGAAACCTGCAAACATTGAAGTATCAAACTTTGATGCAGATATACTTGCAGCTATTGGAAGAAAACACTAAGTTATATATTTTTAAAAGATATATATATATATATATATATATATCGTATATGAGATAATTTTTGAAATATATAAAAATAATGGGCCAAGTTTAGAGGTAAAGGGAAACTAAGCAAATACCACATAAAAGCAAAATAGTTACAAATATATACATCCCTTTACATTCATACCCACTAAATAATTACACTATATACCCCTCAACTAATTTTGCTTAACTGATTCAGTATCATATACTATATTGGTATCATTAATGCTGATAATTTCGCTTAACTTATACTAAATCAGTAAATATATATATATATATATATACTAAAAGTGGGAGGCCACAAAAGTAAAAGTTGAAATACTATTTTACCCCTATCTTAATTCAAAATGTTATAAAATATCTAAGCAATTAAATAATATTTATATCATATTATTTTAAACACTAAAAATGAAAAGGTGTTTTAAAACGCATTTTAAGAAGGTCTCTCCATTCTCCAACATAACTTTTGAGCTTTCTACAGAATTCTAGGCAAACTTTTGGCTTATAAATATCATGTGCATGAGGTAAAATTATTATTGGCAAATACATAAGCTAATTAGCCTTTCATAGCTCAGAAGAAAAAAGAAAATGATTTAATCAATTACAGAAAATGCTTAAGCATGGAGATCGCAGATTAAGGTAGAAGATTGTAGTGGAGTGTTCTCTTGATTTCCGAAGTGTAAAGTTGAAATACCATTTTACCCCTATACTAATTTTTTTTTTAAAGAAAATCATATATTATTAGTTATTATATATTAAATATAAATATTATGGAATGCTAAAAATCTACTTTCTTTTTTAATGAAATAGTAAAATGCCTGAAGAATTTGAAAAGTCAGTTTATATATTAAATATAAATATTATGGGATGCTAGAAATCTACTTTTTTTTTTTTTAATGAAATAATAAAATGCTTGAGGAATTTGAAAAGTTAGTCTTTCATTAAAAACATAATAATGATGATGATGATGATGATGGTGGTGGTGGTGGTGGTGGTGGTGGTGGTGGTGGTGGTGGTGGTGGTGGTGATGATGATGATGATGATGATGATGATGATGATGATGATGATGATAATAATAATAATAATAATAATAATAATAATAATAATAATAATAATAATAATAATGATATCATATATATTATTAAAAGTGGAAAGAAATTTAGGAAAAAGTTAAATTGTTGTTTTTCCCCTATATTAAATTAAAATGTTATAAAATATCTAATTTATTAAATATTCTATCATTAATTAAGAATATCATATTAAGTTTTACAATAATATAATTAATATGTATTTGAGTATACATACGGATGGATTAATTTCCTTGGTACTGCCACTTATTTCAATACGCTAGAATGACTTATCATTTTCCCATACAAATTCGATGTTTTAAAGTTCTTTTCAACTTCTAACAGTAAGCTTTCATAATTTTATAAATAGCCAGATCAGTGAATCATGCGAGACTAGATCCATTGATGTTCTCACCCTCCTCTTCTTCTTCTTCTTCTAAATTCATCTTCAATGTGGCTGGTAAGGGTTCCATTGATATTTCTCATATGTCGGCTCTCTTATCCATCTATTAACTTATTATTATGCTTGATTATGCATTATTCTTGGGCTGCTAATAATTCTATCACGGCATACATAGTTTCTTTGTTTATAAATTGGACATAAAATGTTAGTCCACTAGACTTTCTTATGAAAATTTAGTTTATCGGTTATTCTTTCTTATTCAGATTAATATATTGCTTTGTTTAACCTTTTTTCATTTTGTATGCATATGATGACATGTATATTTTATTGTTTATTTTAAGTTAATTGGGTTGATATTATACATGTTTCTATACATAAGTTAGGCCTATATAAAATTTATATAATAATAAAGGTCAAACGTGCAAGACACCTTCTCAGAACTAGTATATATATATATATATATATATATATATAAACGATTAATAAAATAAAAGCTTAAAAGATAAAGTAATTAAATTAGTTCGACATGAGGTGGGAATGGAAAAAATAAAGAAATGACAAAAAGGAAATAAAGTTAAATCATAAAGTAATAGCTAAGAATTATCAATTAGGTATGCGGGTAATAGGCATAATACATAAATATGCCCTTTAACTTGGCCTCATTTTACATTTATATCCTCCAACTTTGGGTGTGCACAAATAGACACTTAAACTTGTATAAAGTTGAACAAGTAGACACATGAGTCCTATGTGGCATAATACACATAGGACACCACGTAGGACACAAATTGCCATGTAGGATGTCACATAGGATGTGTGTGTCTATTTGTTCAATTTTGTACAAGTTTAAATGTCTACTTGTGCACACTCAAAGTTGAAGGACATAAATATAAAATGAGGCAAAGTTAAAGGACATATTTATGTATTATGCCAATTATTAACTATTAAATGGGTATTGTTGTAGTTAGATTAAGATGGGGTATATTCGTGTAGTTAGTTTCATTTTAATGGGTATTTGATGTAGTTTTCTCTAAAATAAAAAAGAGTGAGATATATTTTGAAAGCCACATGATATTTTTTGAAATTAAAAATTTGGTATTATATAGATATTTTAATTAAGTAAATATAGATATGTTAACGAAGAGGGTAAATATGCACCTTGTATTAGATAGTGGGGGTATATATGCACCACTTTATTAGCGAGATGTATATCTGCTCTAAATCGCAAAGTTGAGCAGTATATTTGCTCATTTTTCCTTAATTCAATGAATGATTTGGGTATCTGCTTGTAAAATTTATCATAGATGCCTATTTTTATTTTTATTTTGGCAGATACGAAAGGATCAAAAATGTCATTTTTCCTAATAAATATATTATTTATTTTCTTTTTGAACATTCTTTTCCTAATAATATTTCTTTATTAACAAGTGTTTATCCTACTACAATTCGGAAAAAAATAGAAAATATTTATTTTATTATAATTATTTAAATAAAAATTAATGATGAATTTACTATTATATATATATATATATATATATAGCAGATAATATCCGTTAAAAGGGTACATGAAATTATTCTATTTAAATTGATAAAATGAGATTATGAAGAAAAAATTATTTCCTACATTTTCATTAGTTAATGATGAATTTACTATGATTTATATATATATGGCAAAGTCATTTTTGGACCAAACTATAAACAACAGATTTTTTTTTTCATTTCATGTAATTTAAGGGCATTTTTTTTACCCTTTTTCAAAAGAATAAAGGGAAAATGCATAAGTACCCTCAGCCTATGCCCAAAATCCCTGAGACACACCTAACCTTTACTAAGGTCCTATTACCCCCCCCCCCGAACTTATTTTATATATAATTTTCTACCCCTTTTCGTCCTACGTGGCACTATAATATGGTAAAAGAACCAACCAATCATTAGCTCAAAAACAAATTTTGCACGTTGCTCTGCTTCCTGCTTTTGCATCTCATCCAGTTTCTGTGAATCCTCCAGCCTAGGTGAAGATAATGGAATTGGGGGATGAGGAAGGTGCAGGACGTTGATGTGCTGGGTGCTTTGTGATGAATATACCATCCGGCAAGAGAATCTACATGGAGCACAAATAGTTATCTGGTATCTAGTCCAACATTGAAATTTTGGCTGTCCAGAGTCATGGGAAACTGCTTTAAAACGATTTTAAAGAAGCATGCACCAGCTCTTTCATTTGAATGGATGTGCAAGATATATCAATAAAGCAAGTTAGATGATGACTGATGACAGTACATACTCCAGTGCCCTGTCTCCACCCCCTAAAAGGGGAGAAAGAACATAGAGCACAATCAGAAAAGAATAAAAAGACACAAGAATTTCTCGAAAAAAATATGTTAAGAGTAAACGAAACTTATCCAGTGAGCCAAAAACATTACTGTTCCACATGCAAATAGAATTGTCATTAGCACCTCTCTTTCTTGAAAAATAAACAAATGGGCACTTGAACAATACCTGCTCAACACGTTGGATACCTGCAGCAACTACTGAACCCCTGCGCAGACGCTGGATTTTCTCAATCAGCCAATCATCAAATGCATCACCCATTCCCAATTGTAAAACCTGTTTAGCCACCCAGAATGCATTCCTCCTAAAATGAACCCCAAGTCAACAGGTCCAGTGAAGTCCATGACACAAGTGCATTTAAAATCAAGTCCAAGAGCTTAATTTGATAGTCACATATGTAAATACTACCTGATCCATCCACCATCTTGGAGCTGAAAAATGACGTCGACAAGATCGAATATAGGCACGGTTAAATTTGGTGGCACCCACTACAGTGAAATAAAAATGAGGTTTAGAGCCATTGTAGAAATTACATCAAATATAAAAGCATCCTTGAATAAATGAACCTTCTCATCTTTCCATAATCGATGAATCATAAGCAATCTATTCTTTAGAGTTCAATAGTGCAAGGAGGTATATTCTTTCCAAATTAGACAAGTGACTACCTCACTGGGAAAGGGGGGATCCACGGGAGCAGCAACAAGAGATTCAGGTGATGCACGTGAGTTACTTTCAACTGATTTTGATGTCGTCTGCATGTTTGGGGTTGATTTTCTATTTGCATGCACCTTGTTGTCACTATTTGAATCCTCAAAAGTTTCTGTGAGAGGTCTTTTTGGAGGAGAGAGTACGACATAATCTTTCCTGAATCTTGATTCATGTCCTGCATGATCTTGTTCCATCCTTGAAGTTGGATTCTTGCTTTCAGTATTAGAATGCTTACCCTTGGAGGATAACAGATCAGTTCGAGGGCTTATACCATGCGGAGGTTCTTTACTCTTTTGGCGTACAGTGCTGTCCAGGTCAGCTGAAATCCAGTATCCATATAAACTATTTATAACTAACACACAGGACGATGCCCCACCCCTTTTCCCTCTCATCATGCTAACTCAGATTACTCACCCTGTAATGTTTCAATTATGGACAAGGAGTTTGAGAAGCTATATGTCTGCATAACAAAACAAAGGAACAAAGAAAGAATGTAAAATCAACTCTCTTTGTTCTAAAAACTATCCAGAGTAAGAAAACTGTAAACTGATAATGTTTTCAACCTGTGAATCCACACTGAGGAAGTCCCATACTTCGATGGAGTTGGAAACAGTTGGGAGCAGCAGAAGTTTCTGAGGAAAGCAGAAACGGTAGCCAAAAAAATACAAAGACAACATTAGAGAAATGAAATAAAAGCAAAATAGTAGATAAAAGTGAACAAGATCTTGTTCACTTTTAGAGGACTATATACCAAAACGCAGTTTCCTGATTAATCTTAACCTTCTCTTGGCAACCCATGACGTCCAAATAGCACTAGAACTAGTAAAGGTATTTTATTGATTTCAGGAATATGAAAGATAATTCTTGGGTCCAAGTACTATTAAAGAACTAAGACCAAGATTAAGTGCTATGATAAAACCAGTGTTATCGAAGGCGAAAAGCGCAAAAAAGCTCTAAGGTCCATGGGGGCTTGAAGCTCAAAGCGCAAATAAAGCGTGGGCTTTAATGAAAAAAGGCGCAAAGGGAGAAAAAAAATACAAATATATAACACATAATTGAGCTCTGAGTGTAAAAAAACATCATGAATGTAACAATCATAAGTACAACCAAGACCTATTCTTTGAACATGTTCTTTAAATGAATTTGGTTGTAAGCTCTTTGTTAACGGATCTGCAATCATGAGATCAGTTCTAATATTCTCAAGTAACACTCTTTGTTTCTGAACGTCTTCCTTAACAGTAAAGTACTTTAATTCCTTATGTTTGGCACATTTGGAGTACTTATCGTTCTTGGAGAAGAATACTGCTGCAGCATTATCACAATAAATTTTCAGCGGCTTGGTAATGGTGTCGACAACCCCAAGTCCTGAAATAAAGTTCCGCAGCCACAATGCATGAATTGTGGCTTCATAACATGCCACAAACTTTCTTTGCAGTTTTTTCTTTCATTAATCAATTCCAGGATTACTTTGATATCTTCCTAGCATTTCGACCGCAAAACTAATATCGGGTCTTGTGCAAGTTTGAACATACATCAAACTTCCAACAATAGAAGAGACATAATTGTTTCCATTTCTTTTCGTTCTACATCATTCTTTGGGCATTGCATGAGATTAAATTTGTCCCTTTTTTTGAATTGGAGCTATTCTTGCTGAACAATTGTTTATGTTAAATCTCTCTAGAACTCTTTCGATATAGCCCTTTTGAGACAGTCCCAATAATCCTTGTGATCTATCATGGAATAATTCTATCCCTATCACAGAGGATGTGTCACCCATATCTTTCATTTCAAAGTTCATAGAGTGAAAGTCATTCGTCTCACGCAATTATGCCTAAATCATTAGCAGCAAGCAAAATGTCATCAATATACAGGACTAAAATTATAAACTTACTCCCACTGATCTTTCGGTATATACACCGATCAACAGTAATCACCTTAATCCAAAATATGTTATGGTATCATTAATCTTTATATACCATTGTCGTGAGGCTTGTTTGAGTCCATATATTGACTTCTTTAGCTTACACACCATTTGATCTTTTCCTTTAATTTCAAAATCGAAACCCTTTGGTTGGTCCATATAAACATTCTCCTTGAGGTCTCCATTAAGAAAGACGGTTTTCACATCCATTTGATGTAAATCTAAATCACAATGAGCTACCAAAGCCAAAACAATTCTTAATGAGTCTTTCTTTAAGACCAGTGAAAAGGTTTCTTTATAATCAATGCCTCATTTTTTGAGTGTATCCCTTGGCAACAAGTCTGGATTTATATCGTTCAATATTACCATTTGAATCGTGTTTGGTCTTGAAGACCCATCTACACTCGATTCTTTTAGAACTTTTTGGTAATTGAACGAGATCCTAGACTTTGTTGTATTCCATGGATTTTAACTCTTCATTCATGACATTAATCCATTTATCAGACTCAGTGCTTTCTATGGCTTGTGAAAATGAAACCGGATCTTTATTAATTTCAATGTCAAAATCCTGAAATGGCCGATTTTCTTAATGACACTATTTGTGGTTCATTTGTGTCAGATACTCGTGAGTTAGTTCCTTCTTGAAGTGTTTCACTCAAATCTTCAACAAGAGGAACAACATTTGTGATTGGAAGTAGGTACATACATGGGCAATGAAATATTTACCCTTACCTTATTAATTTCCACATTTTGTCGTTCAACACTCCCGCTAACTTCACCATTCTCAAGGAATTTTGCAAATGGACCTGGACATTGTTCTGATTTGTTAGACTTTTCATAATATTCACCACCTCCATCTGACCTAATGATTTTCACTTTCCTACCTAATTATCTTTCAACCTCATTAACGAACACTTTGAGAGCATCCGCTGCTTGAGATTTTTCTTTCAACAAATAGATAAATCCATAACGTGAAAAGTCACCGATAAAGATGATAAAATATTTGTAACATCTCGCAATTTGAAATAGCTAGGAAGAAGCTAAGAATTGGAAATAGTCATTTTTGGAAAGAATTGAAAATCTGGAAATTTGTTTAGGTTAGGAAAAGTGAGTTTTTGGTCAACTTCAAACGGCCATAACTCCTAACTCAGGATTATTTAGGTGTACTTCCCGATATGGTTGGAAATCTCTTGGAATGATCTTTCCAACGCCGCCAAGTTTGCACGATTCCAAGTTTGTATGAGTAAGTTATGCCCTTTGGAAGTTGGGTTGTTGGATTAAGGAAAGTCCAAATCCGGATTTTTGAAGGGTAGTTTGGTCTTTTCCTTACCCTTTTATTTTGATTCATTTTTGGTAATTACCTAGGGGTATAAACTGAACTTAGTCAGTTTACGCTTTTGAAAAAAGAGTTAGGGTTTTCAGAGAAGAGAAAAGAGGAGAAAGGAGAAGAACGTTCAAGATTCGTCAAAATCGTCGAGTTTGGCTTGTGGATTTCTTCGGGGGTGATCCCTACAAGGTATGTGAGATCACATAGCATTGGGTTAATTCACCCACGCACCAATCAGGATTTATTTAAGCGAATTTAAGTTCTTGAAAGCTTAGAAATTGAGTTCTTGAATGGGTTTGTTGAAGTTTCATTAGATTCTTGTTTCGTTAAATTCGTTGAGGAGTTGTTTGATCTAATATGTGATTTTAGGTTCGATTCTGAGTAGAATTTGATGTACTTTGAACATTTAATACATTCTAAGTGTTGGGTAAAAGAACCCACGGAGTTTAGAGGGTTTAGAGCTGAAAAACGAAGAAGAGTTTTCGTCGGATGAAATCCGACATCAGTGGCGCGTCGCGGAGCTGGTTCCCAGTTTTGGGAATTTTAGTTTCACATCGTGGAGCCGTCATGGAGTCTTTTGCCTCAAAAGTCATTTTCAAAACTAAAAATTAAATATGTCTCTGCGTCGCAGACCCACCCTCAAATATTTATTTTTGGTCTTTTTCTCATGTTTAGCTATATAAATTCATTCCTAAACATCATGAGATCTTCCTATCACAAATCACGATCCTTAAATCCATAATTCAATTTAAGGATCAGTTAGGAGTCAAGTCAAGAGAAGTCAAGAAGTCAAGAGTTAAGTTAAGAGAAGTTCATAAAGTTTTTTTTTAAAAAAAAGTCTTTTACAAACGTTTTAACTTTGTTTTAAGACTTAAGTTTTGAGTTGAGTAAAGAGTAAAGAGTAAAGCTTGAAGTTCTTTTCTTCAAAAGTATATGGGGACTATGTATTCCCAAAGGGGTTTAAAATGTTTTCACATTTAAACAAGAAAGGAAAACCTTGATTTCCAAAGAGCCTTTGAGCTAGTTTTGAGAAAAGAATAAATGCTTTCATAATTAAGCAAGAGGGGAAACTTTGATTTCCAAGATAGTGTTTGAGCTAAGTTTTGAGCAATTATCTGAAATCGCAGAAAGAATAATGTTTTAAACATAAAGAGCTAGTATCATATTTTGGAAGTAGTATTGAGTACCGATATGGGGACGAGCTTGAGTTTAGATAACTCACGTCTCCATAAACCATGTAGCCATCATGGGTAGAAAAGGGTCATACTTTTTAGATGAATCCTTTTCGCATAAACTAGTAGATCCACTTAGTAATTTAGGTCCTATACCCCTGGTAGGGTATAGGATGCGCTGTTAGCGTGAGGGAGATCGTTGTATCATCACAATTGCTCTTATGTGATGGTTGTCGGTTAGAGAAACTCCCACAACAGTACTTTGTATTTTTATATACATCAGTTTATTTGTATTTTTACATACATCTCTGAGTTATTTGTATCTTTGCATACACACAGAGTTGACATCATGGTTTAAACAATTTTTCTTTATATTGCACTTGTTTTAAACTACTTTATATTGAAATGAGTTCAGTTATGTTGAGTTGAGTTGAGCCAGGTAAGTTCTTCAGTTCCTTTCAGATTCTTTTCAAGCCTATGTTGTGTTTAGCATTCCAACTCGCATATTCGTACATTCAATGTACTGATGCTAGTTGGCATGCATCGTATTATAATGCAGACACAGGTAACTAGGATTGACATCCAACGCATCGTTGATCTAGTGAGCAGTTCAGAGTCTGTTGGTGAGCCTCTTTGCATTTCGAGGATCCCTTTTGTTTACTTTCAGTATTAGATAGTTCATTAGGATGTCATGGGCCTGTCCCGACATCCATCTCAGTTGTTTTAGAGGGTTCATAGATAGTTAGTCAGATGTTAGTTCATTCATCATCATTTTGTTATTGACTTATGTTCAGATTTGAGTTGCCATTTTGGCTAAGTTAAATGTTTATTTTCAAAATATTATGAGTTCAGTTTGAGACAGTTAAGTTGTTTAGCATTTGGATTCTCTTTCTTATGTCTAAGTCTTCCGCTGAGTAAGTAAGTCAGGCCAAGGGTTCGCTTGGGTCCAGCAATGGTTCTCGAGTATCAGTTCCGCCTAGGGTATAGGCTCGGGGCGTGACAAACTTGGTATCAGAGCACAGAGTTCAAGAGTCTTAGGGAGTTTATGAAGCCGTGTTTGTAGAGTCCTATTTATCGGTGTGAAGCGCGCCACATCTATAATTAGGAGGCTGCAACATTTTGGAAAACTTCTCACTTCTTTCACACTTATTTCGTGCGTTAGAGTTTGATCTGTAAAAAGTTTCCCTCTAATTCGTGTTTGCGCGTGTTTCCAAATAATCATGCATCCACGAAGAGCAGTCAGAGGTGCGTCCTTCTAGGATAAATGTTGAGGA